ATATATATATATATATATATATATATATATATATATATATATATATATATATATATATAAATAAATTCAACATGTAAGACCCCATAAGACAACCATCTCCATGTCAAATAAAAAAAAGCTTTTAATAGGCTACTGATTAGTTTTTATTTAATGAGTGCACACCATTTTAATGTATTTTGCAAAATACCAATTAATTAATTTCTACATTAAAAGAAGAAAAAATATCTTCACTGCACCTTTAAAATGAGGACTCGTTCTGCTAGAGCCTGCTGCTGGATTTTTAACCATGCTACATTAACATCAAGGGTAAGTCTGACGTTACAGTTGTAGATACAGATAGAATTCATGTATATGAACGTGTACACACACACACACACACACACACACACACACACACACCCTGCAACAAAGCATGTGCCCTAAAATGCCGTGTGTTTACGCATATGCATACATCATTAGCATCAGGCCATGCTGTAAAACTAAAATGAATCTCTTCCCAGAATCTGAGCAGCAGGTCTGGAGGTAGACACGCTTAAATTCAGGATTGAATGGGTCTGCCGTTGTAAAGAGTGTCTCTGGCTCCATGTTTAATCATAACCATAAATCTATAACAGCCATTTCAGTAACACATACCACAGCAGCGGCCATTTTCATCTAGTAGAGAGGCTTTTAACCAAACGTCTAACAACCGCAGATACAATCATTTAGTATGCACAGTAATTCCACGTTGACGATAATGAGAACGGCTGACTCCAGCGGGGGTCTGTGTGTGTGTGTCGTTATGTGTGTTTTGGTTTTCTGAACCCCATATGCATTCGGCCATATCTTTTGGGTTTGTGTTCAAGGCATTTGAGTGACTCTGGATTTCAAAGCAAAAGCCTGAGACCACTAGTAAAACTGCCTCGATTTTTTTTATTGAATTCATTTTTTTCTTAAGAAATTATATTATCGGACATAAATTTGTCTTTGTTTTTGGTATGGGGGTCAACGACATACAGTGCCCATGATAAACACAAGAAAAAACATCTTTTAGAAATCTAGTTTAAAACACATGTGCCATGTTTATAGACAGTGCACTTTTTGTGTTCATGTTTGTTTCATATGGTGTGAAATTCTTTTCAATACCCTTTTCAAGAAAACTTACAATTGAATTGCTCTCAAACAAACCATGTGGTTTAATCATCAAGGAAAAAGTCAAATATATATTTTCCTTACACAGTATTATTTCTAAATATTTTTAAAAGTAGTATCGTGAATGAAAAATTCATAAAATATTAAATTTCTGGGGATGCACCACATGACATCTCACAACTTGAATTACTTGGTATTAAACCAACATAAAAAATTATTTTTTTGCATGTTGGTTGCACCATGCCTTTAATTTGGCAGGCAAAGTTTTTAAAATATCAATAAGCAGTTTTGCAGTTTAACATTTATTTGTATTAATTTTAATAATTTAATATTTTTAATAATAATAATAATTATTATTTTTATTACTTATAATAAATAAAAAAACATTAATTTTAGTACAAAGTAAAACACACTCATTATAGAAATGTATTCAGTCAATGTATACATTTCATGTACATTTTTTGTGTATTTTTTCAGCACGTTGGTTGCTCCACGACTTTAATCTGGCAGGCAATGTTTTTAAAATATTAATAAGCAGTTTTGTGGTTTAATATTTATTAGTAATAATTTTTTATACAAAATTGTTATTATTATTTATAAGAAAAATTATTTATTTTAAACAAATGACATTAATCTGAATACAAAGATTAAGACAAAGAAACAAACATGCTAATTATAGAAGTGTATTCAGTCAATGAATGAATCTTATGTACATTTTTTGTGTATATTTTAATAATAAGAAAATGGCATCATGTCATTGACCAATGTCTCTGTTGATTTCATTACAGTTACACTGAAGCTGAAAACTTGATCCATGTTGTTAATCTAAAAGGAAACAATCCAATGGGAGAGTCACTTACAGGCACTTCTTGTATTAAAGTCCAGTTTGTCTTGAACTCTTTAGTAGTTATCTCTTCCATTTCATCCTCGAATGCTCTTACTCGTTCTAACACACACAGACAAACTACTACTTGAATTTAGATCGGACACACTGATCCCTTGTTTTCAGCTACAGGATTGAGCTTAAACAATTATAAAGACAGACACATTGCTACGCTTTCTTTGAAGTGAACAATAGACACACACACACACACACACACACAAGCAGGGTAGGGTAGGGTTCGTGAAGTTTGACACAATGGCTCTGTACTGTGTATACACTCTCATGCTTGAACAATGCTCTATTGTCCTGGTTAGCACTGCTGTAATTTATGTAAAGATACTTTCCCCCCCTTTCGGTCTCTTCCTCTTTTTCCCACCCTCTTTCTGGCCTTTGTTGTCCCACTCTTTTTTCTACTCTCTCTTTTTCGACCGCCATCCTTCATCCTATAAGACCCCCGTGTCTGCAGACCCTCCGTCAGCCACTCCACACTTTGGTTTTACTGATATTATATTGCATATTGATTATCTGTCTATTTCCTGGCTCCATCATGCTATTCCACTCTTTCAGATCGGACACATTGAATATGGTAAACATCCAAAGTTTTAAAAAGCAAGAGTAAAAATGGATAAATAACAATAAATAATTGATCTAGAATTTAAAGCAGCAAGGTTTTAACAAACTGAATGTCTGTATCCCTACAGAGTGATTTTGACCTTGTCAAACTTAAAACTAGGGATGCACCGATATGAAAATTTTGGCCGATACCGATATACAACATCATAATTCTGACCCAATACGTTTAATTTATATTCAATTAACTGTCATAAGAACTATGTTTTACTACTACTTACTATTTTTTTTAATTAACTACAAACCGTATTACAACAGTGTAGCAGCACTTGCAAATCTCATCTCAACAGCATATAAATTTAGTAAAAAAAAATACACAAATATATACATACGTATATTATAGCTTCAGGCTTTTTTTTTTTTTTTTTCAAAATAAATAGTAATAAGAAAAACTGTGTGTGCTTTTCTAACCCAGAAAGGGAGACGAAATAAGAGAAGGGAATTGAAAAGCTTTGGCCTGAAACCAAAGCTGTAAAAACAGGAAAACTGTCATGTAATTTTATGGCCACAGACCATCTTTCCTTCCTTTTTAGAGCAGAGAGGACAAGGGCGGAGCCAAAAGCAAAAAAAGGATACTTTTCACTTATACTCTCATGAATATTCATTTAAATATAGAAAAAAAACTTATAAGATACACATGCAGATAAACACAAAAGCAGAGACTGGCTCCTGCTCACCAGGGTAGTAAAAATTAAAGTTGCTGTACCTGAATATGTTTTAATAACATTACATACTACACTACACAAATTAGGCTGTATCGTAATTCAAGTTGTATTTAGTACAAATGCATCTGTTCAAGGTTAAGCTGTCACCCTGATTGACGTTTTTGTGTATGTTCTCCAACACTGTAGCTCACTTACAGCTATAGTAGTAATGGTGTCCAGGCAGGAATTCAAAGCCCAGGGAGAAGGGTGTGAAGCGCTGGATCTTTTCAGAGAATCTGACAGGGCCGTAGGGAGCGTACGGCTGGTTACACTCCCATCTCTTAATGGCCTCTTTAGTCTCCACGCAGCCCCTGAACTGGCCCTCAGCCACCAGGTAGAGAGCCAGAGTATCCACAGGACCGCTCGACGGGTGGTCGGCAGGATAGTGTGGACACAGTATATCCAGATAATCACTCAGATTGACCTGGACAGAGTAATCATCTCCTGTTAACCTGAGAGCAAGAGAGGCAGAGAGAGAGAGAGAGAGAGAGAGAGAGAGAGAAAGAGTGGTATATTAGAGGGTGTATTTCTATCATGAGAGAAATTCATGGCCACAATCATTAAAAATGGCATTTTTCCAAGTCCACAGAACAGATGCGTCAGCATGATCTGCACTGAATCACACTCACATCAACACTCGCTTGGCCGCTTCGTGGACTATTTAGTGATCAGTCACTGCTGGGAAACAAATGCTTTAACGCGTCAGAAAATTAGTTCGTACCAGATGATACAGATGGAGGGATGCAGCGAAATCTTGTAATTGTAAAGATGGGCAAGCTAAATTAAGCAAGTTTTCATGTTACTGGAGTAATAGCGCACAATAACGCTGAAAGGAAAGAGAAACCCTGAGGATTTCAGTAAGGTCAAAAGATTCACACAGCAGCAGATATGGACCATGGCTTCAATAACAGCTTCATGCTAATTAGTGAGAGTTTCATTCTTTACTTGTCACACACACAAAGTCAAAAGTCAAGTTGCACTAATAGGGGAAGAATTAGCATAGAATGGTCCTTAGTGGCTTGGTAAATAAATTCATGCTCCCATTAGTTTACACCCTGTTGACTTTAAAAGGAAGTGTGTACAAGACACCATCAATGAAATGAAAGCGAGAAGAGCGAGAAAGACAGAGACAATTTGAGACAAAATTAATTTTATTCATATTACAAATTAATAAAAGAAAACATAAAAAGTTTTAAAAAATGAAAGACAGAGAGAGAGAGAGAGAGAAAAGGAAAGTAGACCGGGATGGAGAAAGAAGTCAGAAAGAACAACAAAAAAATAACAGACAGAAAGAATGACGATGAACAATAAAGAATGAATAAACAAAAGAAAATATGAAAGGATGAACAAAAATAATGAGAGAGAAATATGGAAAAAAGACAGGTAGAAATAATGACAAGAAAAGAATGAAAGAAAAATAGGGAGAGAGAGAAAAATATCAAGAAAGAAAGAAAAAAGAAAAAGAACGACAGAAAAAAGTAGGAACAAAAAAGACGGACAGAAAGACAGAAAAATAAAGAAAAGGAAAGAAAGTGAGAAAGAGCAAGATGACAGATGGAAAGAAAGTATGAATGACAGAAGAAAATAATGACAGAAATGAAGAAAGGGGGAACAAAAAAGAAAGATAAAACAAGAAAAACAAAGAATGACAATGAACAATAAAGAATGAATAAACAAAATAAAATATGAAAGGATGAACAAAAATAATGAGAGAGAAATATGGAAAAAAGACAGGTAGAAATAATGACAAGAAAAGAATGAAAGAAAAATAGGGAGAGAGAGAAAAATATCAAGAAAGAAAGAAAAAAGAAAAAGAACGACAGAAAAAAGTAGGAACAAAAAGGATGGACAGAAAGACAGAAAAAGACAGTACAAATGACAGAAGAAAATAATGACAGAGAAAGCAAGAAAGAAAGAAAAAAGAAAAAGAACGACAGAAAAAAGTAGGAACAAAAAGGATGGACAGAAAGACAGAAAAAGACAGTACAAATGACAGAAGAAAATAATGACAGAGAAAGAAAGAAAGAAAGAAAGAAAGAAAGAAAGAAAGAAAGAAAGAAAGGAGACAGCCAAAAAGACAGAAAGACAGATGGGAAGAAAAAAAAAAGAATGGAAATAAGAAAAAGTTTGCAGCTAAGTTCACAGGTACTTAAGAAGTGCAGATCAACTACAGACTGTGCGAAAACAGGTGAGAAACAGAGCAAAGAAGCAGCGGAGATGAAGCGAGACAGGAAGAGAGGTGAGGACTGAGAGAGAGAAGGGTTAGAGAGCGGAGAGACAGACACACGGAGGGAGGTAAAGAAAGGGTTCTGTTTTAATTAGTGGCCCTAGAGAGAGTTTGGTGGGAGACAGCAAGAAGACAAGATGGATTTTAATTGGTCTTTCTTGACTGCGAACGTGCACGTGTGCCAGAGAAGGAACGCGAGCGAGGGATGAGAGGAGGCCACGGAGGAGAAGAAGAAAAGACAGGATGTGAGAGCGAGGTGGCCGGTCCAGGTCTGTCACTGGGAGTCTTTTGTGAAGAAGCGGCAGAGCGAAGGAAGCAGAAGAAGTCTACGAAGGAAAGAAGGGAGGAAGGGAGCGCAGACGGGCAGAAGAATGAGGAGGGGGTTATCCAGAGTTAAGTGGGTGGACAGAGAGACGACGGGAAAAGGCTAATGAAAGGCTCCAGACCAGAGAGAGAAAGAGCAAGGGAGCCAAACAGATGGAGTGCAGAGGGAGAAACAGAGAAAGTTAGAGAGTAAACTAGGTATCTGACCCACCGTCTATGACCTAGTTAAAAAAATACCTAATTTTTTCCCGGTGTAAACTCATTACAGAAACCAGAAAATACAAGATGTGGTCTGGCTGAGGTCATCTTTCCATAAGCTTTCATAATGAACCAACAGTGATTCGAGATAAAGGTAAAGATCATCTCTTCATCAAACTATCATGTCATAGTCCATCCAAGATCTGACAGCAAATGTCATATTTACAAATACTGCAAGCTTGGCCAGTGATGAGACATCCATAAGTTGCTAATTAGCTGTCAAGCAAATGTAATTGTCATCAATCAGGGACAATCATCTCATGTCGTGAGCATTTATGGTGTCACAGTTGAATAAATGAACACTGGACCAGAATAAATGGAGTTTGTTTGACCTTTTCTCTTGGTTTTCTCAAGATAATCCATTTAGAAACTAATCTGAGGATCATGTTTAATTTCATTAGAGATCGGTACTGAATATTTATTGGTTAAGGAATAAAGAGTCATTCATACCAAAGACAGTAACTATAACTATAGAAGTTTTAATAATTGTTCTAATTCTATTAGAATACTGAAATCCATACCACAACTATAATGATAATGACGTTTGGTTGGAATCATTTTCAGAATTTTTTTTTTTCCAGCAGATGAATGATAAAAACACTGACAGCCAATCAGATTCCACCCAGCTTTTAAAGGGATAGTTCACCCAAAAATGAAAATTCTGTCATCATTTACTCACCCTCAAGTTTAAAGACAATTTAAAGTGATAGATGACATAACTGCAGCACTTGCTTAGAATAAACAAAGCGATATGGCCTGTTGGTGTGGATGCCAATATAGTTTTTGTTATCTTTCTTAGTGTGAATGGGCCTATATGGAAGCGTTAAGCCTCACAGAGTGAAAAATAAAATAGGTAATTGTGAGATAAGGATTAAAATAAAGTCAGTTATGAGGGGGAAAAAAGTCACAACTCCAAGATAAAAAGTTGCAGTTGTGAGATATGAAAACCATAGTGAGATTGCAATTGTTAGAACTGTTAGAAATGTTAGATATCTTCACATTTGTGATCTGAAAGTCTAGAAAGTTTCTTCAGTTTCTTACTGTCACAGGTTATCTGTGTTTTGTGTTCAGTTCTTTCTGTTGTTTATGCTGCTTTCATGCACTATCGGAAATGTCCTACTTACCACTTCTGAAGTTGTAATTATGAGTTTACAAGTGCTTTGTTGTTATTGAATCATGGAGAATGGCCCATTCATGATTTTATTCTTGCCTATTTCGTGGAGAAATCTTATTAAAGTGAAAATGTACTGAAAATATTTAGTCAACATTCAAAAGGTTTTGAATAAGAATGTAGCACCCCATCCATTAATAACCATTTAAACATTCGCCGCACTAGAAATTCAGCTTGCTGACAATTCTGAAATTTTGGTCAAATAAATGCTGTTTAGGCTGTGTGTAATACATACAATAAGCATCAAATGGCTATTTATATACATAAGTGTACATGACTGAAACGGCAAGAGAATAAAAATGTAGATGTTGTGGGAAAAATAACAATTATGAAAAAAATATATATTACAACTATGTTTTTCTCCTCAGCAATGTTTCAAGTTTACGGCCCCCCAACTTGCAAACTTGGGTATCAAAATGTTTCCCAGTTGTAAATATGAATTGACATACGTTTACACTAGCTTTCATGTGTAACAGTATACTTTGTGAATGATTCATTACGCGTCAACCTTTAAGCCTTAAAGGGTTAGTTCACCCAAAAAAGAAAATTGGCTTGTGTTTTACTCACCCTCGAAGCATCCTAGGTGTATATGACTTTCTTCTTTCAGACGACTCCAATCGGAGTTATATTAAAAATTGTCCTGGCTATTCCAAGCTCTATCATTGCAGTCAGCGGGTGATGCAGTTGAAGAGTCCACAAGTCGTCAAATAAAGCGCGCGCATTCATAATAAAACGTGCTTCACATGGCTCCGGGGGGGGAATAAAGTTCTTCTGTAGTGAATCCACGTGTATTTGTAAGAAAAATATCCATATTTCAAACGTAATAAACACTTTTATATCACTTCCGCCAACTGACATAAGCGGAAGCCGTGCCGGCGGATGTCGTAGCACGCCGGCGTTGCGTGATTAGTGACGAACGCGGAGAGACAACAAAACAAAACGCCGGTCACGAATTAGAAGTGCAAACCGAAGATTTGCAAAGAAAAATAAGCCAAGAGGAGACTGGTTTTCCTTTGCTAAAGTAAGGAAACTTTGCTTCCTTTGCTCCTGTAAACAAACTTGTGAGACTAGCATATCTCAGAGGCGCGCACGCTGCGCATACGTCATACGCCTTCCGCCGGAACGACTTCCGCGTATGACAGATAACGGAAGTGAGAGAAAAGTGTTTATTACGTTTGAAATATGGATATTTTTCTTACAAATACGCGTGGATTCACTACAGAAGAACTTTATTCACCCCCCGGGGCCGTGAGAGGCATGTTTTATTATGAATGCGCGCGCTTTATTTGACGACTTGTGGACCGTTCAACTACAACACCCGCTGACTGCAATGATAGAGCTTGGAATAGCCAGGACAATTGTTAATATAACTCCGACTGGACTCGTCTGAAAGAAGAAAGTCATATACACCTAGGATGCTTCGAGGGTGAGTAAAGCACAAGCCAATTTTCTTTTTTGGGTGAACTAACCCT